CTAAGAGAGTCTTCTAGAAGATGAAGATTAGTAGGAAATATATTTCCTACATTATATTATTAATTGGAGTAAAATTAGGTTTCCTAAATTAGGAGTTAATTCTATTTCATGATTATTAGTTTAATAAAGAAAGGTATTCCTACTAGGATGTTCTCTAGTGTAAGGAGACTAAGAAGTCTTCGAGAAGGAGTTAGATTAGTAGGAGATTCCCTTCCTACATTGAGTTAGTATTAGATTAGAATTAGTATTCCTCGGCCTAATGGGATAAGCCCATATTTAGCACCTCCTTAAGGTCCCTAATGGAGACTATAAATACACCATGTCCCAATCTCTCTTACAAGTTTATGCTGGCCGATTTTTCTCTCTACATACACGTGAGAAATAGCTTCATTCGAGAGTTAGGGAGATTCGATTAAATGCTCCACCAAGTTTAATCGAAGTAGGTGTTTAAGTAATCCATTAGAAGGATTTTTGGTACAATATATTGAGCCTCTAATATATATAATTCCGCTCATCATCACCACCTCATCGCCGCCCATCGCCGCCGTGAGCCACTGCCGAAAATCGCCTACCGCCGCCGGTCGCCGCCCAAGCCCAGCCACGCGCAACCGCACGCTACCTCGAGCAGCCGCGCATAGCCGAGTTCAGTCCGCAACGCCTAGTGACGCTCAGCAACGTCTGCGAAGTCCCAGCGTGCTGCCTGTTCGCACACTCGTTCGCATCTGCTGCCAGCCGACGTCTGCCCGAGGTCCCAGCGCCCGTCCAGCACGCGCGCATCATTACTCGCACGTCCAGGAGTCGCGCACAACACGCCCGCCTGCGTCCACCGCATCCCAGCGCCAATCCGCGTAGGAGAAGGAGTCCGGCCCGCGTGCACGCACTCGCCCAGCAGCTGTCAGCGTCCATCCACGCATCCCAGTAGTCCCGCGCGTTCGCCCAGTGCCCAACGCACGTCCGCTGCGACCCGCGTACTCGCACGCTGTCCGCGCCCGACGCGCACGAGCTTCCCGCTGCACCCCGACATTCGAGACCATGCTACCGTGTGATCAAGGCTTCGTTGGAACTTTCGATTAGAATCGAATAAAGGCCAAATCTATCAGCCCATTAGATTGTGGTGTTCAGATGAACTACATCAACGGTACTCTACATCGTCTCAGAGTCGGCAAAAATTTTAAAAGGGAAACGTCCATATCCTAACTATAGATTCCGTTGCGTTAGGATTTATCTCGATAAGTTCAATACTGTGCATGTTGCTTGACGTTCCTCACCGAACCCAACAACTGGTATCATAGCCCAGGTTTAATTCAACCTCGTGCACAGTTTGAATTTTGGACTTTGTCTGTCTACATGAATTATGTGCGTACGGACGCAGCGACATAGTAGATTAGAAATTGCAATAAGTTTTTTGCAGGTATTTCGAATCCGACTATTGTGGCCCGTATGTATGGATTTTAATTCATGTTGAATGTATGCTGTTTTTCAAAGCCTTGGACGTGTCAAGGAATTTTTGGGTTGGTGAATGCTTGTAATAAATTATTCGCGCGGTGGGACACCGCATAGTTTATTACTTTCATAGAAACTCATGTACGGCTCCTGCCTGGGTCATAGGATGAATTATGTAATTGTTGTTTATATTATTCATTATTGATCCGACGGATGTGGACCAACATTAACGGGGTGAGGCGATAAACACGTACATGGATGCCATGGTGATGATCCAATGGCGACTTTCCCGGAGACGACCAATTCCATGGGAGTCACTGTGAAAGGAGAGTTCCAATGCCTGAATCGGAGGACACACTCAACAAGGACAGGATTGTGTTTTTCTCCGTAACTTTGGAGATTGATCAATGGCCATGATAGTTGGATTATAGTTCCTAGTTTATTATTGCCTATTAATCATGAATGTTCTATGTGATGAAAGGCGATGAAGTCTGAATTAGAGTCAATGGACACTAATCAGGTCTGGGATCTTGTAGAGCCACCCAGTGGCGTTCGAGCAATTGGATGAAAGTGGGTCTATAAGAGAAAGAGACGATCAGATGGGAAGGTTGAGACCTTCAAAGCTAGGCTTATTGCGAAAGGGTACACTCAGAAAGAAGGGATCGATTATGAGGAAACCTTTTCGCCAGTAGCCATGCTCAAATCCATCAGGATTCCCTTGGTTGTGGCCGCTCATATGGATTATGAGATTTGGCAAATGGATGTTAAGACCGCTTTCCTTAACGGGAATTTGGACGAGGACATCTATATGCAGCAACCAGAAGGATTCATTGCAAAGGGCCAAGAGCATCTGGTCTGCAAGCTGAAGAGATCCATTTATGGGCTGAAGCAGGCTTCGAGGTCTTGGAACATCCGTTTTGACGAGGTTGTCCAATCGTATGGATTTACCAAATGTCCGGATGAGCAATGTGTGTACAAGAAAAGTGATGGATACGTGGTGGTGTTTCTAGTGTTGTACGCGGATGATATTCTTCTCATTGGAAACAGTGTGAAGATGTTATCAGACGTAAAGGTATGGTTATCCAAGCAGTTTGATATGAAGGATTTGGGAGAAGTAGGACATGTTCTCGAAATCAAGGTCATTCGCGACCGAGAGAAGAGAAAGTTGTGCCTATCCCAATCCACATACATAGACACTGTCCTAAAGCGTTTCAACAAGCAGGATTCCAAGAAAGGGGATTTACTCTTTCGGCAAGGAATACCTCTATCTAAGAAGATTTCCCCAAAGACACCTCAAAAGGTAGAGGACATAAAGGCAGTTCCTTATGCATCCGCAGTAGGAAGCCTCATGTATGCTATGTTGTGTACACGACCTGATATTTGTTATGTCATGGGCATGGTACCAAGATATCAGAGTAATCCAGGACCGGAACATTGGTCTGTGGTAAAGCATATACTCAAGTACATATGTAGGACTAAGGATTACATGTTGATTTACCAGGCATATGAATTGCTTCCGTTGGGTTACACCGATTCTGACTTCCAGGCAGACCGAGACGAAAGCAAGTCAACCTCAGGGTTTGTGTTTACTTTAGGAGGAGGAGCCATAGTATGGAGGAGTGTCAAGCAGAAATGCGTGGCAGACTCAACCATAGAGGCTGAGTATGTAGCAGCCTCAGAGGCAGCGAAAGAAGCTGTCTGACTCAGGAATTTTCTCCTCGACCTTGATGTGGTACCGAGTTTGCCCGCTGCAATTACAGTGTTCTGTGATAACAACGCAGCAGTAGCAAAGTCGAAGGAGCCACGAACTCATAAAGCGAGTAAACACATAGAGCGCATGTACCTCCTGATACGAGTCAGAGGACAAGCTAGCAGATCCTTTTACGAAGAGCCTACCGGCGAAAGTCTTTACAAGACACGTAGAAGGAATGGGAGTCAGATGTTAGGGCGACATAGCATACTAGTCTTTGAGAATTAGATTGAAAGAAATTGTGGTTAGTTTGTATAGCCGTGAGCTTATTAAGCATAAGTGGGAGATTGTTAGAGGTATGCTGTAAAAGCTATGTTTTGCAGATTCTATCAATTCCATTTTGATCTGGCCATCATGTTTCAGTCAAAGTACATATGTTTGCAGTTTATTTATTTATGCAAATCATACTCCATGTCTTATATTGAGATAGTGTGGTTCGAAGTGTTTCGAACAGAAAGATCACCTATCGGTTCCTTATAAGACTAAACTATTCGTTCATAGTCTAGATAGGCGGTGAGACCCCTCTTGCAAAAAGACTGTAGTGTAATCATGATTCAGTTGGCCTTTGACCGAAGAATTACACTAGCACTTATGTTAAGTGTTGAACAGGACCACGGAAGGATAAGGTTATGAGACTCACTGATCGTTGTTGTAACCTAGACCTTCAGTGATTGATGCGTTCTCTTAAGCTGTAAGATAATATAAATAGGCATATATATTTATCACTTATTTATTTGATTTACCAAGTGATTCCTATTTTATTAGGATGACATACGATGTATTTTGGTAAGTAAGAATAATTATATGATGTGCTATTATAAATTATTTATGGTCACTATGTTCCAGTGCGCTGGATTGATGATGTCCCCGAAAACAGCTCAGGAATGTACATTATGTTAAACCCTGCAGGTAGAATATGCACTGACATAATGGTTAAGGTTCTGAGTGGTACTAATTTCGGAAATGAGTAAGAAGTTGATTAATTATTTTGTCAGTAATTTAATTAATCAACGGACGTTATATCTTAAACATAGGGAGGTAAATCGATCAATCAGATTAATATTATTTAATCATGGAGACTCAATTTTATTGGTAAAATAGTGACTAAATGGGGAGAGCAATAATATTACTCTAGTGGGATGTTTTATTATTTTATTTCATTAAATAGGAATTAATTTTATTCCATATTAATTAATTTAATTAGGAGAACTAAGCGAGTCTTCCAAAGGATGAAGATTAGTATAAAAAATATTTCCTACATTATATTATTAATTGGAGTAAAATTAAGTTTCCTAAATTAGGAATTAATTCTATTCCATGATTATTAATTTAATTAGGAAAGGTATACCTACTAGGATCTTCTCTAGTGTTAGGAGACTAAGGAGTCTTCTAGAAGGAGTTAGATTAGTAGGAGATCTCCCTTCTACATTGAGTTAGTAATGGATTAGAATTAGGATTCCTAAGTCTAATGGGATAAGCCCATATTTAGCACCTCCTTAAGGTCCCTAATGGAGCCTATAAATACACCATGTCTGAATCTCTCTTACAAGTTTATGCTGGCCAATTTTTCTCTCTACATACACGTGAGAAATAGCTTCGTTCGAGAGTTAGGGAGATTCGATTAAACGATCCACCAAGTTTAATCGAAGTATGTGTTTAGGTAATCCATTAGAAGGCTTTTTGGTATAATATATTGAGCCTCTAATATATATAATTCCAGTCATCATCATCACCTCATCGCCGCCCATCGCCGCCGTGAGCCACTGCCGGAAACCGCCTACCGCCGCCGGTCACCGCCCAACCCCAGCCACGCGCAACCGCACGCTACTGCGAGCAGCCGCGCATAGCCGAGCTCAGTCCGCGATGCCCAGCGACGCTCAGCAACGTCCGCGAAGTCCCAGCATGCTGCATGTTCGCACACCCGTTCGCATCTGCTGCCAGCCGACGTCCGCCCGAGGTCCCAGCGTCTGTCCAGCACGCGCACATCATTCCTCGCACGTCCAAGAGTCGCGCACAACAGGCCCACGTGCGTCCACCGCATCCCAACGCCAATCCGCGTAGGAGAAGGAGTCTCGCCCGCGTGCACGCACTCGCCCAGCAGCTGCCAGCATCCACCCGTGCATCCCAGCAGTCCCGCGCGTTCGCCCAGCGCCCAACGCACGTCCGCTGCGACCCGCGTACTCGCACGCTGTCCACGCCCGACGCGCACGAGCTGCCCGCTGCACCCCGACGTCCGAGACCATGCTACCGTGTGATCAAGGCTTCGTTGGAACTTTCGATTAGAATCGAATAAAGGCCAAATCTATCAGCCCATTAGATTGTGGTGTTCAGACGAACTACATCAACGGTATTCTACATCGTCTCAGAGTCGGCAAAAATTTTAAAAGGTAAACGTCCATATCCTAACTATAGATTCCGCTGTGTTAGGATTTATTTCGATAAGTTCAATACTGTGCATGTTGCTTGACGTTCCTCACAGAACCCAACAATTATTGGGATTTTAATATTAATTGATGAGGAGTGATGATTGTTAAGTATTGAATATAGATTTGAAAATAAGTAGCGCCTCATGTGTTTTTGAAAAATTTATTTTAAAAAAAAAAATTATTCTGATTTTCGGCAAATAAAAGTGGGGCGTTACAACCTACATGCCAACTACCCCACCCCGCCCACCCCCACCCCACCCATACATTCTCTCTCCTCTCGCACACACACACACACACACACTGTTGGGATCTGTGAGGATCTCGTTATGTACATATCATGAACCCAACAACAAACATAAACCTATGCGCAGCGGATCTAAAGATTTAACGTAGAAAACTTACGGCTTATAATTTTGGCGATCTGGCTGATTTGGATTGACCGAGATGAACACACGAACAGAACTGGATCACACGATCGGGAAGGTGGGTCACGTGTGATTGGGACATGTTGGAATCGTCGGGTCATGTCGCGGCTTGTGTCGCGTCGCGGGGGCGCATCGCGGCTGCTCCTGGTCGTGGATCGTCGACTCGGTTGATCTCCGGGGTTGATAAATATATGTATCTCAATAACCACTTGATCTTCTACTGTATATCTCAAAATACCTCTTTAACTTGTACTATGGAGCAACAAGAAGAAGATAAAACTCGAATGAGAATTGAGAGAGAGAGAGAGAGAGAGAGTGGCGTGGGGGGCGTGTGGAATATTGTGTCCAACTCTTCTTTTCTCATGAGCTTAATGATGTATATATAAAGCTACAGTACGGACCTTTAGAAGATTAGGAACAGGGTTCTTTAATTAAGTAGACTAACTATACTCACTACTCTGATTAATTAAATAATATTATGGCCACCAACATAATATTATTGCACTCCCTTTTTCTAGCCTAATTTACAATTGAGTCTCCAATTATAATTACAGAATTATCTCTCCATGTTTAAAATATAATGTTCATTAGTTAATTTGATTACTGATAATCACGAATTAATTAATTTACTATTATTTCACCAAAGCTAGCGCGCCTTCATCACGTTATTACTATGTCGGAATTTAATCCACCTGCAGGGATTAGCATAATAATCCTTCATGAATTCATTCCGAGGACATCATCAAACTAAACATACATGGTGACCGTAAATATCCTAATAGCACATCATACATACAGTAATATTACCTAAAACATAGCTGAACCCACCTATTTGTGCTTTTGGAGGCATAATGTGGCTTTGAAATTCAAAATTTTTCCTAAGATATTAAGGATCCTTTTGACAAGATAATTTCCCCCCTAACCCACGCCTAAATCTCCTGTTAATTGACCGATTAAATTAGAAAGGATCCCCCTTGATTCCGTAGGAGTTTTTAAGGAAAACACTCATTTTCTTCCCTCATTCACTCATGATTGTCTATCTCCTCACGCAACCCTTCCTTCTTCTCTCCTTGTCGCAAACTAGAGAATATATCACTCAACCCTCCAAAAAATTCATAAAATCTGATCGCCATCATCACCGAGCCCCGCCGGCGCCTTCCTCTCCCACGCAAGCGCACGCAAGTCACCGCGAGGACCCGCGAAGATCGTCGGCCACCTCACGCGGTCCATTCGATCATCCTAGCCTTCATTCGATCCCCTAGCGATCAGCAAGCCTCGGTCCACCGTCCCTGTTCATGCCCCGTTCGTTGCTAGGCCGCAAGTCACGCCACCCACACCCGCTCAACACGCGACGAGCCGTGCGATAGCCGCCAAGGAGCCCTTGCCATCCTCGCAATCAGATTTTTACGAGTCCTTTCCTTGGAGTACGGTAATAGGTGGCTATCCCTCTGATATATTAGAATTTATGATGATCTTGAAGTTTATTGCATATGTATTGGGGATTAATTGTTGAAATTATGTGAAATTGTTTGAGATTCGAACAGTTTAATGAAGAAACTATTGAATCTCGATTTTGTTAGTGGAAATATGTGGATTATGGAACTTTGGTGTGTCTTTGGCTTAATGGTGAAAGACTTGGATGATTTTGTTGTGTATTGAAGTCGTTTTGAATTTTGAAATCGATCGTGTTGCTGGAATGTTTGAAAAATCATTTAAAATTGTACGTTTTTTCAAATGACGTGAAACTTTGAAAATGACCTTGAGTTTGAAGTGGAGTGTTACGTAAAAATTTCATGCATCAACTCGGCCTGTAGCTACATGAACTGAATATTGCAATTTGTACCCTAAATCTTTGAAAATTGGTATTAAATAATCAGCAGGTCCAAATTATTTGAGTTTCTGGATTTTGGATTCGTTCTTCATGTTGAGCATGTAGTTAAAATTTTGGAAATTAATTCGAAGTATAGGTGCCTGAACCTAGATTTAATGATTTTGCTCTGATTCTTTTAAAAATCGTTAAAATTCAAATAATTTACCATTTGTGTGAAATTTTGATGGTTAAACTCTCTGTTGGTGTAGTCCCTTGTGTAAAAGTTTCAAGCCAAAATTCATATGTTAGCTGTGTGAACTGATTAATTGTAGTTTTGGGTTGTTTCTTAAAAAATTCATATAAGATCTTAGATTTACTGAAATTGAGGGATCTTTAGGGAATTAGAGTCCTTTATGATGATAAGCATATGGTTAAAATTTCAGAGAGAAATTTGACCGGTCGCATATTGAACCTAAAACCCTTCACTTTGTTCTTAATTTTGCAAAATTGTGTTTATTAGGTTAGGAATCTATTTAAGGGTCAATCTCTAGTTTATGGTTCCATTTTGAGTCTCTTTATTTTATGTTTTTTAATTATTGTTCCGAGTCTAGTCGTCAAATCCAAGTTTTCCAAACTCCACAAATTCCACAAACTACTTAGTCGATGATGCTCGACTAAGTATGAATTTTCGTGATTAACTCTAAGTGTCAAGGTAGTATATTTATAAGGCTATCTTGATAAAAATGTAGGTGTCTGACGAGCCGAGCTCTCAACCTACACTATTGTTCGATCATATTTTCTGCTTAAGGTCCAGGTGGGTTATTCTAAATTCCTGTGCCATAAATTGTTTATATTTGTTGGACGGTATGATTCATGTATGCGTGTGAACTATGTAACTTTCGATGTGAGTTGTTTAGTCCTTCGAACGGTTATCCCCATCAATGTGAGTTGTTTAGTCCTTCAATGGTGCATGATACAGAGAGGCAGTCTCCCTTAGCCTAATAATAGACCATGTCGTTGTGAGTTGTTTAGTCCTTCGACATGTACTCCCACTGTCGGATGTTGTTTAGACCTTCAGATGCTTTATAGAGGTGCGCACATAAGTATAATATGATTAGGAGATGTGATATTATGATTAATTCATGTTCATGATGCGACCACACCTATCTATCTTTGTATGTGATTTATGTGCATAATAGTGAGCAAGTGGTTGTGCTCACTCCCATGTCCCCACCCCACCCTCCCTCCCCCACATTTCAGGTTGAGCAGGTGGCAGGTAGGATAGACGAGGATGAGTGGTGGTAGGTCTTGTTTGACATTGACCATTTATGTTTGCTTCCGCTTATTTTATGAACTATTTTTTATGAATGTTGAACGTTTTCAAACAATGAGATTTTGGAAATTGTTGATGAACGTAATTGTAACACCCCACCTTGTAATATCCCGAGATATTAATCAGTATAAATTACGTTTAATTCCGATATAGTAACGTTATCGTTTATTATTTTCGGAATTAATTAAGTTCAGTCGGATTACCGAAATCTATTTTCGGCGTACCGTTTACGTCCGAAATAATTTTGGTAATTAAGTATTATGTTTAATTTAACAATTAAACATCATTTGAGTGATTAATTAGTGATTAATCACAACTTAACCCTAAGTGGCCGTGAGTGTTAGTGTATTAGCCCTAATTGCCGTCCAAGACTTAGTAAAATTTTTCCCAAATTAAGTTCAATGGCCGTGAGGTTTCCCTTGCCAAAGGGAAACACTTTTTATCCAATCATCTTAAGCAAAGTGTCAAATAAATAAGGTGATTAGTCACCATACAAGGCTTAAGAACCAAGCAAGTGGCATTAGAAGAGAAAGCCACATTAAACTTACGTGGCCTTAACACCCCTCACGGCTCAAGTATATAAGAGGTCATTTGGTCCGATTTTTGCCATTTTTCCTAAGGCAAATCCAGTTCTTATTTCCCCCTCTATCAGCAAATAAAGTTCAGCAAATCTTCCTAAAAATTCATAGCAATTGCACGGCCAAATCAAACCTATCGCACGGCAATTCAAGGAGCTATCGCACGGCGGGTTTAAGGCTACTAGCACGCCATCTATTTTCCAGTTCAGTCGGACAATCAGTGAGGTATATCCCTCTTCTGGTTATAATCTTGTTAATAAGGTTATTTTAAAGGGTATTGCTCGGAGAATTTTCAAAATTCGTTAAGATGTTCAAGAAAAACCGTACTTAAATCTATATATGTTATCACCGAACCAAGTTCAATTCTCTCCGACAACTTTCGAATCAAAATCAATTATATGATCAGTTTAGTTGTTTTAAGCTCAGCATGATCGGTGTTGTTGAAGTAAAATGAAGTACGGTCGATGACAAGGCCCCAATCGACACCTTTGCGCATACCGCGCGTAGTCTTGGGTAGTCTTGGGCCGAGACCTGTTAGTTCAGCAATATTAGTGTTCAGCCGTGTGATTAGTCTTTAAATAGCTTCAGTTTAATATTCATGCTGAGGTGTTCGATAGTTGTCGGGTAATATTTAAGATCGGCCGAGGGACGGCACGTAGCCGTCGGCGGCGCTCGGGTGTTCGCCGCGGCCCTTGCTTGTTTAGTACGCGTTTGATGTATTTCAGGTCCAATTCAACAAGTTTATCCATGTTAAGTTTAATTAAGTTAAAGTGGTTGATGTCTTTCTCAGATTGGCCGAGAGATGACCGAAAGCCGTCGGCATCGCATATAGCGAGTGCACCACGTCCGGAGGTTCGGTTCATCGAGTTAAATTCAGCCTCTGCATGTTAAATTCAGTGGAATATCCATTTTAAGTCAGAACATGTTAGTTGAAGTCAGATTGGTCGAGTAGAGTTGCCGGACGGTCGGCACGGAGCCGACTGTGGCCACGCTGCCGCACACAGCGGCAGCAGTGCCCCGGCCAGTGCCAGTGCGCCAGACAGCGCGCGCCAGTGCAGAGGCGTGCGG